TAGCAGGAGTTTGTGCAGGGTGCCAGTGCACAATTTAAGACACACAGTGTGGTATCTATCATAGTTTTAACAACAGGGCCAGTTCTGGTGATGTCTAGTTGAATACGAGCTAAAGGAAACTCTGTAATAATACAGCTATTAGTGATAGTATTAGGCTGAAAGGCCCTTTCCCAGGGCACCCTTTGACCTCTCAGCCAGAATCACACCTGTTGCTCATTGCCACAGTGTCCAATAGCCCAGGAGCCACACCTCTCTCTCACTCCCCCAGTGCCCAGGTCCTGCCCTGCTTGGGGGCTGCACCTGTCACTTATCCTAGGTACATCCTGGCCTGTTGGCTGTGCAGGGAGCCAGTAACCCATTTCCTTTCTCTGTGCTAATCCTCCTTGGAGCTGCCACTTGAGCAGAAGGAGGTTATAATGTTGGTTAGTGCTAGGATTGCTTTGATATTTACAAACACAAGATGGCTTAGATTTTCCACCGCTGGAAAGCAGGGAGAGGAATCAAAGTCTGGTAACCAACACCATGGCTTAACAACTTCTGACAGCCTCTGGAGATGTTGGCTATACACACAGGACCTCAGCTCCCATAATTGCAAAACAATACAGCAGGGTTTAATGGTGGTGTTAATAGGGATGTAACTACCATGTAAAAAGCTAACCGTTTAAACAAAATATTTTTAGCTGTTTAACGGTTAACTAATTAAAGCAGCGGTGGCTGGGCCTGATCCGGTCGCTGGGGTTGGGGCCGCTCCGGCTGGCGCGGGGCTGCTGGGGCCAGCCAGCCGGCCTGGGGGTTAACGGTTAAGGCGCATTAACTGGTAAGACTAATGTTAACATTTTACATCCCTAGTTGTTATCAACAGTGTAGTTACAGCTCTTTGCCAGATATCCAAGCTCTCAGGGAGAGCTGCTCTGGATAAAATTGCCTGAGGTAATATTTATTTTCCAGTTTGATTAGTGATAATATAAAAGGATTTCTTTGCCATCAGCAATTTCTGTCTCTTGTAGGCAGATGATTTCCTAGAATTATACCATTAGCGTGACCTGCATGTTGTAAAAGTGTTCAGTACGACAGGGCAGGGCCATTGGGTACCTAGAGAAGTGATTTTAGGAAGCCGTTGTATATTTGTAGCCTTTAATGTGAGAAGTGTTTGTCCATTTAAAAAAAAATAGTCACAGAGGCTGTTCCAGCTCCGCATTTCATATCTCCTCACATCCACTATGTTTCTCAGCTGGAAACAAGAAGGAGAACCAGCACCAGGTCACCCGACAGCTCTCTGTGGACCCAAGTTTGGGAACCTCGGACACAGGACACTTCAATTGCACTTTGAATAATTAAATGAAAGTTACTTTCTGCTGAGAATGTATGTGATATTGTAACACTGACCCTATATAAAACCCATTCATAGCTCCCTGCCTCTGTACACTAGGGGAGAGAATGCTAAATAGGACACAATTCTCTATGTTCTCGCCTTCTGCTAACTCTCCAAGTCTGCAGAGCTTTCTTGTGACTGAAGTTCTAGCCAGTATGAAACATGCCATTGTCAGTACAGAAAATATTTGATCTCATTCAATCAGCCTTCTGCCTCTTTAGCAGTTCAGTGGGGCTTGCCCAGAGCTACCTCCATCAGTACCTAGTAGAAAATGTGTATATATAATACTTTGGATTCAGAATACTTGTAATTTTCCCCATGAATTTATGTTGTAAATAACCCCTCCTAGGTTATTCTGACAGAAGGGCTGTAACCTGTTAGTCAGCTGATCGGTATGTATCCTTGTACCTTCTCCTCTGGTACTGCTTAAAAGCCTTCTGGAAACACAGACTTGCTCTGATCACTGCTTTGTGTCCTGAGCAGGGAGATTCAGACTAAATATGGTCAGAAGGGTGCAGACTATGCAACCCAAGCTTGTTAAACAACTAAAGGATAATAAAGGCATTTTCTTTCATAGTATCGCTTTTTGGGGGGCAGTCTTGCTATCACTGTATTTACGTCTCACACCTAACAGTCCCCCTTCGGTGAGGTTTCCCATAAAGGAAGGAAAGAAGAAATCTGTTGTGACTGATGGAGCCACACTGGCAACTAAATGATACAGCTTTGGCTGGCAGGCACGCTTAAAGGGAATATCTGAGTTTGCCTGTAGTAGCTCTCCTATTGAAATTGCTTCTCAGTTAAGAGCCTTTACAGTCGTACTCAATGAAAGACATGCAACCCAGTCTGACTGGATGAATGTTTCCTAGGCAAGTCTGGGGTCCCTTCAGCCAGCTATGGGTCACTTAGGAAAAGTTGATTCCACAGAGACATTTCTACCATATTTGCAGTTTCATACTTTGCAGTTTTCCTGAAGTATATTTAACTACTGAAAGTCTAGCAGGCCCAATTCATGGCATAAATGACACCGAAAACACACATTTCCAGGGCAATACATTAACATCTTAATAGAATTATTTAAAAGGACACACATACTTTTTAAATAGCTTTTCACTCTTTCCTCCTTCTTTTGCATACTCTGTCAGAAGCTGACAGTTTCAGCCTTTTCTTTTAGGCAAATGTAGGTGGGGTATTTTCCCTTTTACCTTGTAGGTTTTGAATAAGGTTAAACTGAACACAGCTCCTTTTTTGTTTAAGTGCCACAGTTCCGATGTGCACAGTGCACTGGGAGTGCTGTTACCCAGCTGCAGCTGTGAATCCAACAGGACCAGTACAAAGCTTTGTGTTATGTGATTTCATGAAAATAATGGCTATTGTGTCTTGTTTAATGTATTGAGAAAGAAGACAGGTTTCAATCTCTCTGTTCCTGATTGGCTGGGAAGTTGCTTTACATGCACACAGCTCTGACACTATCAAAACTTGGCTGAACCTAGAAGGCACATGTAGCCCAAGTAAACCTGAATTTCCCAATAACGCCTACTGGTGACCCTAATAATCCTAAGGCTAGCCCATGAGTCTGGCTCTGGAGTCTCTAGCAGTATGATCGGGGCACTGGGGGACGCTTGGCTTGTGTACAGTGATGAAGTTCACTCCAGTCCATTTGCTTAGGGAAGGCTGTCACTGTGTAGGTAGAGTTAAGCCAGGCCCCAGAGCCAGGCCAATAGTTTGCTTTCTTGCCCTGTTGCTCCCTTTCAGCCCATCCCCTCAAGTGCTGCTTTCAGTCTGTGCTGAATTCACTTGCACCAGTACTGAACAGGTGCCCAGTAGGACAAGAGAGACCCAGACAGACCCATCTTTGGCATCTACTGTCAGTTAGATGCCAAAGATGTGATGAAGCAGTGGGCTCCCCCACCCTCCTCCAGGTTGGGCAGCGGCTGCAGATTTTGGCGCTGGACTCTGTCAACAGCGTTTGTTCTGTTCTGTGTTGGCTTCATCTTTACCTAAATTAGCTTTGTGGGATGAAAGCTGTTGGTATTGGCCCTGAGCTCTGGTTTGCAGGATCATTCTGAAGCAGCCTCCAGTCCCCACATTGGTGGAACCCTAGCAGAATTTCCCTTAACTTAAATGCTCTGCACTCAATTCCTCTAGGGGAGGATTGGGTCTGATTCTGCAAAGTGCTGAACACCTCTACCCCAATAACATTAGTGGGAGCCGGGGGACTCCTCAGCTCCCAGAAGAGGCTTAGCACTTTGCAGAACTGGGCTCATTATCTAAACATTTCTCCTGAGCTGACATCCCATTGCACTGAGTTTGTATTTGTATCAAATGGGATTCTTCTTGATGTTTGAAAAAACGGATACCTTCTTTGCTAGACACGCGTATGGTCAGCGTGTCCCTCATTGGGACAGTGCCCCTAACTCCCTGCTGGGGCTCTCAGTTCAGTAGTGAAGACTGTCCTGTACTAAAAGGCCACTATTACTCCCTGCAGCACTAGGGTTGTCCTTGGTGGCCTCCCCTCCAAGGGCTGCTCAGGCCTAGCCCTGCTTAACTTCAGCACATTCCCCCCAGTGAAGTATGATCCTTTTTCTGAATCTTTTTTCCCTGGTTTGAACGTGCCCCTAATCAGAATCTGGCGTGTCTCATGTGGACAATGCCATTTAGCAGCTGGACCTCCTGAAACAGAGAGACTGTCGTTTATAACCGAGGTGCGGGAGGAGTGTGTGCCCTGACCTCATCTTCCTCAGAGATTCAGAGCAACCACTGTATCCGTGCTCCGCCTGACCATGCAGCAGGGCCAGCGACACACTGGCAGGGGACTCGCCCGGCTCTAGTGTCTGTTTATTCAGCTTCACAACGGCCACAAGATTTTGGCTGAAAAACAGTCAGTGAAGTTATTCCTCTCCCAGTAGCTCTGTCTGTGTGATGCCAGCGTGGGCCGGCACCACCATCTCAGCTCCTGGACATGCACCAATTCCAGAGACCTCAGACTTATGTTCTGGGCTTAGAGTAAGCTGGGTTGGCCTGCCTTCAAATTCCGTCGGTTGGGTAACTGTGGTGGTCAGGAGCGGAATGGGGAGTGGCTGTGGGGCTAGGAGGGAATGAAGACAGAAGAGAGGAAAATGAGATTTTCCCATTAGGGAACTTTCCAATCGGTGTTTGTACACCACCAGGATACACCCAAGTAACAGCACATTGGGCGAATTCTCCAAATTCTGCCTGTTTGGACTTGCGGGAACTAGCTGTGGCAGCCTGAGCACTGGCGCCCTTCCCCTATGCCTCTGTTTGGGCCCTATCATTTTGTGTGGCACTCAGAACCTACAAGGCTGTTTGGGGCCATTTTGATGAATGGATGAGGTTGGTTCTTTATAATGTTTGAAAGTCATGTTTGAAATGGGTTGAAAAGCACTGTGGTGTTAAAGAGTCAGAGGAGAGGATAAGGCCAGTTGTTCTGTAACAGAAATTCATTGGTATCCAATATTGGGAGGGGCCTGCTGAGTTCTGCAACTTTATAATCCTGCAGTTTTGGAGTTTCCAGGAAGCACAAGGAGTCACCCGTTGCAACTCTTTGGCATGTTCCAGCTCTTCCCAGCCCTTTGCAGTTCAGTTATTAACTGGCCTGTTTGCTTTCCAGCTGGCAGGGTTGGCTGTCGTTGCCTTTGGACTATGGCTGCGATTTGGTGGGGTCCTGGGAGACTTAACTTCGGAGGAAAAATCCCCAGAGTACTTCTACATGGGTAAGTTAAGGTGCTTAGACTTTGGCTGAATCTCCAACCTCAGTTTCACCAGCAGGTACGATCCCAAACACTACTTTACGTGATACATATAAAAATGGTGCTTAAAAGGTCTGACAGGTGAATGGCACGAACCTTGTCTCCTGCCCTTCCATGCCACATCAAGTGACAGCCTCTCTCAATTCTCTCCTAGGCAACAAATTTTGCAGACCTGAATTAATTCCTAAATATGATTTCATAGTTGAATTTTTCTGTAATGCTGGTGCTTATGAAACAGAAACTGGGAAGATGTAATTTTTCCAGAGTTCCAGATGTGCTTTTCAAGCACTGTTGGGGTGTTCTGGGGGCTCCAGATGTTACATGTATATTATGTGCCTAATTGGTTATTGTGCATTGGCTGCCTGTGGTTTCATACTTCCCATTTCTTCATCCATCCATTGTCAATTGTGAGACGTCTCCCATGCCCTTGATTTGTTTCCCCTTTCCTCTCTGATCACATTAGGAGAAGTCAGATTCAGTCTATTTTAAGCCTTAAGCGGGTTCATTCAATGTAATCTGATTTTCACAGTCATTTCATCCTTGTCCAATGCCAAGTGCAGAACAGCAGCTGAGGAGCTCCAGAGAGAGAGAAAATCCTGGCTGCTAGTGTAAGAGTATTAAATATGTATCACTGGAGGAGTTGAATGCCTGCCAGAAGTGAAAGCTGACCCAGAGGCAGTGCACGGCACCAGTTATTTCTACCCTGGAATCTTAGTCCAAGTTTAACCCTTTCTCCAGTTACCGTTAAATGTCCATTGTACAGATAAGAATTGACCCTAACCCCAGTCTCTTGGTGGGTCAAATGACACTATATCTGTCATTTAGAAGTTACTTGACCATAGTGCTCCTGCAAGTGAGGGCCTCAAGGTTTTGCCTACAGCCTGGCATCTTGCAAACTTCACTTGCTCAACTCTCCTAATGCACATCCATCCTGGCCTGTAGAACTCTTGCTACTCCAGTCCTGGGCCCCATTCATCTCAGTTCTGATCCATAGCAATTCTATCTTAAACAATGCAGCCAGAGGCTCACAGCTCACTATGCAATAGTTTAGAAACAGGAAGGGAGGAATACTGTGTCCTGTTAAAACCGAAGTGGACATTTAAGGAGGCAGACTGCAATTATTCTGATTGGAATTTGGCCAGGACACCAGGTCAACACCCCTTCACTGCAAAATGTCCCACAGGATTTTAATGAATTGATCTCTCCTACAAAAGATGTTAGCTCCAGCAGAACATACTCTTTGCAGCATGCTGGGGCATCATTCTGAGCCCGTTGTGAAATGATACCTGGTGAATTGCCCACACCATGTCCTGGAGATCTTCCCCTCCCTATGTGTTTCTGAAAGGCCTAAGAGACCTGAGGAGAGACAAAGTTATTCTGTTCATCACAATCAATTACTGCTGGTTCATTTATAGCCAGGATGAAATGGATAGATGGCTAAACCCTGACAAACAGCCTGTGATATGCATTAAGGGATGCAGAGATGTTCACAACCTCTTAATATCAGAGGGGTAGCCGTGTTAGTCTGTATCCACAAAAACAACGAGGAGTCCAGTGGCACCTGAAAGACTAACAGATTTATTTGCGCATAAGCTCCCTTGGGTTAAAAACCCACTTCAGATGCGTGGAGTGAAAATTACAGATACAGGCATAAATATATATTGACACATGAAGTAGAGTGCCTGGCTCACTACAAAGGCAATTTTCCCTCTCTTGGTATTGACACTTCCTCATCAATTATTGGGAGTGAACCACATCCACCCTGACTAAATTGGCCTTCAACATTGGTTCTCCACTTGTAAGGTAACTCCCTTCCCTTCATGTGCCAAAATAAACCTCTTAATGTAGATTCCATCATCCTTGCTATGCAAAAAGTTGTTTCCTCTGGCGAATGCCTAGTGGGATCTCTGAAAAGTTTAAGCTGCTGCTGTAGCCTTAAATGGAAATGCCGAGTGTTTAGATTTTGATCTTTTGAACAGAGGCTTTGAGAATGTCCTTGTAAAAGTTCAGCCGTATCTCCTGATCCAAAACTGGATTTAATTTCTGCCATGCTAATTTTCTTTGTCTGGGTATCTGTAGAACCCTTACACTGCAGAATCTATCTGCTAAGAGGGGAAGTTGAGGAACAGGACAGAAATGTACTGGGAAACCCTTTGAACCTACATTATTGACTACACAGTGTCCGGTCAAATCCCAGCTGAATAGTACTGTGGCCTTTGGGCAGTTTGGCAGGACTGTGCTATTAGCAAAGATGTTAGCACCTTCTACATCATGAAGAGCTAGGAAGAGAGTCAGTGTTTCTCTGTGCAGCAGGTTGTTCTGTTCAGGTGCTTGAACCTCACCCATTGCTGAGGTGCCCCAAGCACTTGACTCTCATAACTGTCAGGTATGAGTCACCGCACTCATTTTGTCCACTGGGGCCTATTCAGAGAGATTCCAGGAGTCTCATTTTTCCAGGGAGTGCACAGGAGCTGTGTATGTATCTTCTGTTCCAGACAAACTAGCCCCTTCGGGCTGACAGCCAGGATTTTACAGCACCGAGTCCTAGTGCAGTGTGTGTTTGTGCTATGGAAGGGACTGCCGCTCAAGGGCACTGCTGTCATCAATGTGACAGGGAGATATAAATATGTTTGGTTATATTAAAAATCTTTCCTCCAGCCTGTTTATAATGGCAGCTCTGCAGCCACTTTCTCCAAGCCTCAGGATCCAGATCCTCACGTGTAATCATATCCACTCAGAGGCAGTGCTGGGGCCTGCATTAGAGCTGCTTTCAGAGTCTGCTTTGTAGCTATGTTGGAGGTAGCTTTTGCACCATTCTGTCCTTTTGGCATGCTCCACGTGGCTGGGAAAGGTGAGCAGCAAGGAACAGCTTAGCAATATGCACACTTGACATAGGGGAGACTCTAGAGAACCAGGAAGAGAAAACAATCTATTCTACTGAAAAGGATAAGAAGACCAAGAGGAAAGCATTAGAGCAGTGAGTATAACATCTGCTGTGGGACATCCTGGGAGAGTTCCTGGGGACCCCAGTCTGATCAGCATAGGACTGTTCTACACTCCTTGTTTGTACCACTAAAACTATATCAGTTTAGAAAGAGGGATGGCTAAAGCGGTGCAACTCGCTAGTGTGGACAGTCATACTGGCATAAAGGTGCTTCAAAATGAACTATGCTGATAAAAGGACCTTTACACTTGTATAACTGCATCCACACTAGGGAGCTACACTGCTTTCAACCATTTCCAAACCAGTTTATAGAAGTAAAAAAATGGGGTGTAGACCAGCTCATAAACTTGGTCATGGGATTCATGTTGAACTTGGCTGCGTGAGGCTTGTTCTCTGAGGAGTTATCTGCCACAGAAGAGAAGGGTTGTGCAGAGGGAGTGATACACTTAGTTTTAGGGCACTGGCTGTAATCTCCTTCTGGAGGAGCATGGATTGAAGGACGTGGTTAAAACCGGGCAGATGGGATAAAGTTGACAGGCCGAATGGACTGTGCTGTGGTGGGTTCTAAGGCCACTCAGACTGGCCTTCAACATTGGTTCTCCACTTGTAAGGTAACTCCCTTCTCTTCATGTGCTAAAGGGAGACACATTCTGCTCATATGGTACCTGATTTGAACTGGTTTCCCTCTCACACTTATTTATGGTGGGTTTTTTTCCTGCATCTGAAATATTTTTTACTTTAACATGATTGATAATTATATAATTATACCCCTGTATTTTCCATTTGGCTGGCATGAACCACCCCAATAGCTTTGTCCCTCACCAGCAATCAGGCATCTTCTTTGCCACCTGGATTTAGTTCTGGCTGCACTTGCCAAGCAGTCCAGCCAACTTTTCCACTCACTGAAATATTCCTCTTGGTTGGAGACCGACTGGGAATTTTGACATAGGCCGATTTCTGTGTCAGAGGCTCAGGGCCATCTCTGGTTTGGCTTTTTGTTGGTGTTTCAGGTTCCTCATTACAGTTCACAAGAGCAGGATTGGCAGGAAGGGTATATTTTAGCACCACAGTAATCAAATCCTTTGACCCCTGCAGTCTCTCACCCCATATCAGTGGGTGTGACACATGCTGAAATTGAGGTTAAGGTTCCAACTGTTTATAAATGTATACACCGAGCAAGAGGAGGCAGCCATCCTAAGCCTTAGTGAACTGCACACACTGCCTAAACTGAGGTTCTCACACCTGATAGCAGAAATGCCAGTGCCTCTGTTTTACACCATTTAACAGCATGTGTTTTATGTCTCTGCTGTAAGCAGTGAGATATAATGGCAGCATTTGCTCCAGCTGTGATTATGCTCTCAAACAGTGATTTTTTTCCCATTAGATTTCATGATGAATCTTCAAAGTCTCTTTCCTTTAATTATCTTCTTTCTGGGATATGGTTACAGTGCTGGGCTGCTACTATGTAGACACATCTCGTTTGTGATGTCTGCGCTGGTCGAAGGGAACAAAGATCTGCAGGAAGAGGGAACTCCTTTTGATTGTTTCTTTCCTGAGACCATCATGCCAAGAAATCTGAAATTAAGTGGCTTGCTTTCTTTGGGAAGGAAAGTGAGCCTGGTTCATGTGCCACACTCTAAAGGGGATAGTGACACCTGGGTGAACCCAAGATTTTAGTTGAGTGCATTTCATTGTCTCTGTTTGGTAATTTCCCATTCCTGAATGAACTTCTCATGCTGGTAGGGATGTTACCTGTGGGGCCGCTGCTTTTAAATTTAAAATGCTAAAGCCCAAAATGAAGACAATATGATCCTGTCAAACAGTATGTTAAGTTTGTGATGTGAGAACTGACATGGGGAAGCTTCTATAGCAGGGAGTTAAAGCAACAATATGTGACACTCCAGCACAAGGGCTCCCAGACCAGCCCTCTCATCCGCCCGCAGAGTCAAGTTAGAATTCCCTGTGTGGCGCTCTGAGGAATCTCTCTTCCCTGTGGCAGTTGGGGTGTTAAGCCTCACGG